TATCGGATTCATATCGGTATCGGCAGATATCCAAATTTATGATATCGGTATCGGACATAAAAAAGTGGTATCGTGCCATCTCTATTATTTACTAAGAAGATGAACACCTGAACCTGACAGGTTTTTCTCAGCATCTACAAACACTAGCTTATGTGGTATTATTTTACAACATAAAATTGCAAAGAGACTTCAAACACTTTAAAATCCAATATATAACCCCCCGGGGCACTACAGCACATTTTATCTACTGTACACACTACATGCTACGAAACAAAACGAGAAGCTTGTTTTGCCCCTCAGCCATCTCTTGTTCCGTAGGCGAGTTTCTTTACCTGAGAGGTCTGGCATGCTGATTGCCTGCTTCAAAATAAGGATGAAGGTAGTCCTTAATGTAAAGGTCAGCCGCACTGTTGGAGTGGGTGCAGATCAGGACCCTGTAGAGACAAAAGACAAACAACTGTAGGCATGAATCATCATACGCAGTTGCTGAAACACTGTATCGGTATCTGCCAAAACCAGCAGCAAGAATAAATTATCACCAGGGTACAGTGGCATATAAACTACCTTAAGAAATGGTTTCACTTCATAAGTTTTTTAATAAAAAGTTTATAATGAAGTTGCATGGGGTTTTTTGTTGTTGTTTTTTTATAACAAAACAGTGGTTGTGAATCCTATCAATTCATTTTGATTAATAGCACTTGGCTTTCCTAAAAACATAGTATAACATTATTTTTGTATATCGATAATATTTCATGATTAAACTGCATCCACTAATGATATACAAATACAGAAATATAAGGAATAAAAAAAAGGGATTTATTTAGTCTCTATAGCATGCCAGTTTTCAGTAGAAACTTTAAAAAGTAAACTGATATTAGTATCCGGGACAGCAAACCCAGAGCTGTTCACCCTGACAGCAGTAACAACTCCTGTTCACAATTACACATTTAAACATTCATGTAGCATCACAGCTAAAGATGTACAGAGAAAGCTTCCAATATTAAATACAGTAATTCACATCTTGAGCACACCTGACCAGGGTCTATATACGGTCTTGTTAACGATTTTAAAAGTATGGTGAGCCAGAAGCACTAATCCATGGGCTCACCTCCCCTTGTCATGGCTTTTAAAATATCTATAATTCATCTTAACCACAGAATATTAAATGTATTCAGAGTGAATTGAGGAATGAATATTACATTGCTACACATTTTCCAAGGCTGTTTTCTCTCTTACATTACACATACACATCCTGGTCTTCCTTATTAAAAACCAAAATGGTAACTTTTGTTAGGGGACACTGTCCGAGATATTACATTCATTTTTCATAAAGACCAGGGAACCATTTATGTGCTTGTGCTACATCAGTTTGCTTCTAACACAGGAAATTGCAAAGTTTCCTGTGGGTATCTACACAGTGAGGGAGCTTACTAATGATGAAAAATGCCAATGGAAGAAAATCATACACTGTTTTGTTGTTATACAACACTGTGTGGGCCACTGAAGTGACATAGCTTGATTGATCACATTATAGTTGGCACAGACTTCCATTCTGGCCCTGAAAATGTGTTGCAATGAGACTAACCATGTGCATCAACCACACATTGACACAAATTCATCCAAATGACCAGCAGAGTTTGCCTTCAAGTGATATGGCCTAGACAATACAAACCATAGACAACTACACAGCACAACACAGGCTCCAACACACGCACAGACACACACCACAGTTTGACACTTTATACCACTGTGATTTCTCAACTTTAAAAAGGTCAAACCCAAGGCAGTGACTGCCACTGAAACGAAAACGGCAGCCAATGCACAGCCCAGCCCCAGGATACATCTGTCATTTCTTTTGACTGAGCTCACCTACTATTTAATGCATTTATAAATGATATTAACTTGATTCACATCCACATTTCCCTTTTAAATTTCCCTATAAATACCCCATTGACACTTTATGATACATAGCAGGGAGTATCAGTAATCTGCAAAAATGATTGCTTGTGAGATCAAGGTTGCTGATTATATTTCTATGATGGTGATTGAAACCATTTATTTGTAATATTTCAGTAATGTTTATCAAGTTTGTCTTTTATCCAGTGATGAAGCAGAGGCCTGCTTTTATAAATTGCTCTGCTGTACCGAACACAAAAAAGATATTTTATTCATTTGTATATTCATTTAGCTGTGCCTTTAATTATGCACCATTCGTCTTAGGTTAATTTTACTGACAGATGTGATAGTATTTCTATAATTTCACAGTGAAAGTGGAGTAAAAATACAGTCCTGCTGTGTTATTCAAATTATAGCCTGCTTATCTTAGCTTTAACTATTACAAAACTTAACTTTATATGTAAAATGCAGTACTTGGGCGTTTTACAGTTTACTACTCAATCATCAGGCGGTTACTGCTGGTATGGCAACCAGTGTAATACCTTATGTTATTAGTCATGAATTATTTAGTTAATGTAAGTCAAATGTTATTGAAAACTAGCGACTATCTACTTGGCACTTCACAACTACAGTGTGAAACAAAAAAAAGTGCTCCATCTATCATTGTAAACATTACATTTATAAGACTTCATAAACATTCATTCACAAATACAAAAGAAGCCGATAGTATATCAGGGATCTGGTGGGCGGAATCCTATCTGTTAAAAATGATTCAATGTATCTTGAAAAATCAGCATGCAAACAAACAGAGAAGAAGATCAAACGATCACAAACCACAAACAGAAAAGAAGATAAAATGATCACGAACCTGCTGTGGTCTTGGCGGAGGATGTGCTTTACAGCCTGTGCCAGGGTGAAGGTCTTGCCGGTACCATAGGGCCCAATGATAAGAATGGGGGGCAAAGGGACAGAGATGGGTGTGGTGATGGCCAGGATGGCCTCTTTCTGTTTGGCATTCAGACGAGGATCCAACTGCTCATCCCACTGCCTGAGGGCGGAAAGAGGATGGAGGCATTTTTTGATGACCAAATCAACTGTTATTATAAACATTTCAAACTCAAGCATTCAAGTAAAATACTGTACTATAAACAAAGATTACTTTTGAATATAAAAAGGCAGTATGCCCGTGTAATTATTTTGTCTATGTCCCACTAAAAATAATATAAAAAGATGACATATAGAATGTAACATTCTTGTTGTTATGGAAATAACTATATAAATATGAGTGGCT